GATACAGAATTAAGAGGTTAAAATACCAAGGGAGAAATTAAATGCTAGTAAGAAACATTGCGGAATGTCTTTGGATTATATTTTATTTGTAATGTTAAGGATGCTGTATGTAATTGAAATCGAATATTTAGTAAAAAGAGTGCAACAGGGGAAAATCATAAATTAACCTAATGTCCCATTGCTGGTAAATATTGTTGAAGCAATTCTAGTGGGTAGGGGGCAGTAAGCTCTTAAACTCCAATGAAAAAAACATAGTCTTCTGATTGTTTCATCAGCTTGTACTTGTGGTTTGTTGTTTGTTTCCTAGAATTGGTCCAAGCAGTTCTTAGACGTCTGCATTTGTAGAAGGATCTCAACAACTTTAAGCTGGATAAAGGTTAATATTAAATCAAAATACAATATTCGTAGGGAATTTAGACCTACAAAATGTTAAATTCTCTTACTTTTTTTACAGTAACCTGTATTCTCTATGTAAGAGTACACAAAGATGTCAAGATATTTGCTATGAGAAATCAAACTTTATACTGCCTTTAAATGCAGTTATCTACCGTAGCAGTGATTATTTGCAGTGAAACAAACATTTATCTTTGACGAAACGAAGGTTTTCCTTTTTAAGGAAGAAGGAAGACCTCATTTTCCTCTCCTATGTTTTTTTACGTTCTGCCCCTTTTACTGTAGTTTACATCATTGAGTAGGGATTCAAAACCAGTTCCCTCATTCGGTTAAAATGGGGGTACAATAGGAGATCATCTTCAGTGAGTATTTTGGAACAGGTACTGTAAGTCATTAGCTACAGTTGCTTAGTTAAACTTGCAGTTGTCAAGTCCAATGGATAAGTCTTTAAAATTTTTTTTTTTTTCCTGAATTGTTTTCTGATTTTTGAATGTAAAAGCATGTCCAAATTAGATTTGGTGCCCCCTATGTGTTTAGGAAAGGAGAGGGCTGCATGAAAGTATGCTAAAACACAAATGTAGCTGCTATCATTTGCTATACATATAAGAAAGAGGGAGCAAGGACACGGAGAAAAGAAGCACTTAAAGCAAGCATTTAGAAGGAGTTTTCCTGTCAGAACATTTTTATTTCATTAGCTTGGATCTGAGAATGTAGGAGTTGGAGGGGACAGAAAAATAGCACTTACATACCAGTTATAATCAGAAATGCACCATTGTGCCTTCACAGTTTGCAGGCTGAGACTTTGCAGGCTGAGACTTTAATGTTTTCATATTCAAGTGTAGCAAAGAAACAAAAAAGTTAATTGCCAAAAAAAAAAGAATTTGGAAGATAACTTAGCAAAAAAGGCCAATTTCCCCAAATCAAATATCTTTCAACTTCCTGATTATGCTTTTTTGGGGTTGAAGAAACATGGGGATGCTGTAGATGCAGAAAAAGCTAAGTATAAAAATACTACTCTGGTCAAAAAATATTAAAAAAAATAGGATGTCTTTGCAACACAATTGTTTTTTTGACTGTTTACAGTGGCATTCTGTCAAAAGCAAAGTTTTTTTTTTTTCTCCACTTGACAATCTCCTTATTACACAAACATTTTCTTCATAAGAAATCTACATGGGACTAATTCTTGTGTCTAGATAGCTGAGATTGCAAGTTCATCTGTGATATCCATTTTGCTTGGATCCATGAAGCTGACATCTTCAAGTTACTTTTTCTTTTCAGTCCTCTTTTATAGGACTGTTATATAGTTAGTCTTTTATAAAACCATTGCTTCTTAAAGGAGAGTTTGTAGTAGAGAAGTTTTGTAGTTTTTTTTCTTTCTTTTTTTTTTCCTTATACCAGAAGAAAGTAGGAAAAACTGAGATGGAAACTGTTCTGTGGGTTTTGAGCAAGGAAACAAATTGCTGTGAGACAAGCTTGGAGTTAGTGTTGCGACTGTGCTGAGCTGCTATTTTGCATGCTTTTTATCTTTTTTTTTTTTTTTCCTGCAAAGTTATGTAGCCATCAGTAAACTAGAAGGATAACTGGTGCGTGCTTTTATGTATTTTTGTTTTAATACAAGATAGTTTTACTCATATTTGATAGTTCTAAACTACTATGTATTTAACTCGAGAGTAGGTATAACAGTTAACTGCTATGGAATAGCTGGTCTGTATATTTCTAGTCAATTACTGTATGTAAATTATTCTGCATCCCATTGTACCTATATCATTAAAGAGGGAAAAAAATCTCCCCCTCTCCCCCCAACACACACACACACATTAGCGCAAACTGGGTAGCCTTGCTTACAAAGCATAATGAGGTGCAGTTTGTCGTGCCATAACCAAGGAGCTGTATGTTGTCTTTGCTTCTGGGCTGTGTAGCGGTCAACTCTTCAGCCTATTAAGCTGTTGTGTGTAGTCAGCCTGTTGATAACAGTGGAGGATTGCAGAAGTTGCTCGGGTTGCAGGTGACTTTCTGTGGAGTTCCGTTATGTGAACTTACACTGATGCAGACTTTAAATCTCAGTTTTTAACAGTGGAGCCCTTGATAACCTGAAACATGACATCTTATGCGTGTCTACCATAATTTCAATCTTTCTGTTCCCAGATGGGGATCTCTTAGGTCATTTGTACTGTGACAACAATACTGGTTCCTTCTGCTTGATCTGACTTAGTTGTCTTTTCTTTTTTTAAAATAGCGCTCTCGCCACTGACCTTTTGGGTTAGAATATCTTAAGATGAGTGCTGATTATATTATTAGAAGTGTTATAAAAACTGAAAACCACGCTGATCTTTTGAGGCTTTGATTTAGAGGAATCAGGATGCATTTATTTCATCTTAGTTCTTCTCTGAAAAATATCTGCCTTTTGTAGGCCCGTTTTCTTGCATATCTCTTACTGACTGGGAAATGCAGAACTCATTTGATTCATGTTGGCCTAGCCTAAAGGAGTTGCCCAGCTGGAATAGTAAAATAATTCAGACATGTAAGGGTAAGTAACTGAAGACAGGTCTCTTTTGTTAAAAGTACTGAAAAGTATGTGCAGTTAAAATAACAAGAGGACACATTCAAGTTCCATTAAATATAAATAGCTACCTTTCTCGATTGCTTTCTATTGTGCAAAATTACTGACTTGCTTAAAACAAAAGTATTATAAAATACGTCTTTTACCTGGGTAATGATGTTGGTTTATCGTCTGTTAGAAGGTGGTATTTGATACTGGGAAAGTATAATTTTCTTGCTTTTAGTCATAAGTAAACAGCTTAATCAGCATTAGAATACAGTAGAGTCTAATTTATGGCAATACTGCTTTCAACTTGAGACTTTAGGAAGCACTAACTTTAAGTAGTAAGCTGTACATGTATAATTTGGAATGGATGGCTACATTACTAAGCTAAACTGTCAGCTTAGCCTATGTGGCTTTTTTATAGCAAACTTTTTTTAATTCCTCATAGTGTATTCCTCATAGTACTTAATACTCATAACGGTTCATCCTTTGTTAGATATGCCTACTGTGTACCTTTCAGTATGATACAAGATCTATCTGTCCTTTTTGTTTGTAGACCGGAAGTTTTATATACCCTATCCCTCAGCAAGGCTTATTAATGTAAGTTGGGCTTTATTCTAACTATGGTCACAATACTTGAGTGGGCTGGGAGTTCTGCTATGAGCAGAGCAGATTTTCATCTCCCCGTCAAAGGCTGGGTGGATGTACTTAATAGGTTCAACAGGAACCTTGTCCGTAAGAGAATATTTCAGATTTCCAGGGTGTCCATTTCTGGAAGGCTTCTATACTGACTATCTTTCTAGGAGAATCCATTAATGAAGGATTGCAGTAGAAGTGGAGGAGGAAAACATCGAGGTGAGTTCTAGGAATTAAAGGTGTGGCTCTTTTCTTCTTTGTGAAGATTAGATATATGCATGGACAGGAGAAAGGAATGACTATTCCATGAGGGTGCTCATTTAAATGACTGCTCGTCTATTCTAGAGGTTTTCTAGTATGAAGGTAAATTATCAAAGATGCATTTTCATTCAGACCTTTCCTGTTCTGTTTGACCACGATACAAATGTGCTAGATGTCGGATTAAAGTTAAATCATCCTCCTCGGCTCCCCTTGGCCGAAATCTTTGATTGCATACTGATTCATTGGTGATCACTCAGTGATGTTATAGTAAATGAATAAATAAAAAAGCAAAATGACTTGTGTTGCGAAACTAGGTAATGACACGTGGATAAACTCTATTGCTGAGCCAAAGGTATTTAATTCTTTTCTTGTCTTTATTTTTTATTTTTTTAACTATGACACTGCATTCATCCTTGCCCCTTTCCTTTGAACAGGAGTTTTACTATCGCTTAGTTGTGTGGGATTAAATGAATTTTTTTGAAACTTTGTTTAATGCAGCTTAACT